TGAAGTGAACGCGAATATAAACAGAGAGTATTTGTAATAACAAGAGGAATGAGGGAACGATGAAGTTTGTGAGAAACAACTGATTGGAGATGTGCATGTGACGTATTTGATGTATAGTTTTCATATTTTAAGAAGATACTGTAATTTTGCACTAAATTATAGATTGATCTTTCCCACCTCAGATCTTGTTTACTACAACGTAACAAAGATGAATGAGTGTAAATTGAATGACGATGGAAATAGAATAGAGAATTTTGAGTGAGAGCATGCAAAACAATTACATGACATTGAAAACAGTGGTTTAGTAACGAAAATCATTCGGTCCCTATTCAGTAGATTGTATGTTCGAGTCCTGTCTCATCTACTATAGTTTAAACACCCATGTAGTATTATCAGCCTTCACATTCTATTAAAAAATTTCTCGAATCTGAGTAAGTCGGTCTGTTGTATTCCACATAGAGCCTAGCACCAATGTACATCAGTCCACTGTACACCATATCAGTACAATCGAATGAAATTAACATGATATGTGTCAGACTAATAGGAATGATAACAGTGTCGATGTTAATAAAAAGGATTTGGTATAGATAATACGAATGGAGAGAACGGGATGGATGGAAGACTGTTATTGAATGCATGTGTGGTATTATGGTCGATTTTGAGACGTTGGCATATCAAACTACTTCTTTGTGATTATTTCACAGATATTAACGAAGTAGTCTGCACCTACTAATGTGGCACAGGTCAACAGTCAGTGACCTAAATGAAAAAATGTCACGTTTTCGTTTTGATCATCTGTATATTCCTTTAAACATCTCATACTTGACGTAAGTCCGTAGATAACAACAAACGTTTTTACATATTTGTACTTTCATTCAGTCAGACTCCAATCTCTCTGTGGTTAATTAACTTAACTACTTCACTTCTTATCATTAATTTAGGGGTTGATATCATTTAGTGAATGATGCGAAATCCGAGTCACACGTCCGCGTCGTGCCTCCTGGGTAATGAGACGAGTGATTCATGAACTAACGTGAACGGTAATCCGGGTGGTGGAGATCGGGCTAATCACCCACCCTACCTATACCCACCAACTGATTACGAACTCCACAGATAAACATAGCACAACTACATTTGGAATGGAAAAAGACGAAAAATTTTCTCGAAAGTGGTGCATGTATCATATGAAGTTGCTCATCATTGGGCAAACTCCAAAGGTTTGCAGAAACAACCATTATAGTCCTGGTAGTTGTGCCGTGCTTTGATGTGACCTGTTTCGCTCCAGAAGGGCCTACTAAGCTTCACCAACTTGTTTGACTGGAAGGGGGGACATCATTTAGTGAAAGAAACACTTCCTACAAACGTTTCCATTATGCTTCAAGGCTATCAGAAGACTGAATTTTGTGAAAATCAAAACTATGTTATCTAAGAATTGTAGGTCCATAGAAGAACATTCTAGTAGCTCAAATTCAACTACATAGAACTTTACTCGATCACATTAAAACAATAAATGTTTACCGGATCATTTCTCGTTTTTAAATGCGTAACTGTATTCCTTTCTTTTAAAACCTGCGCTATCCATAGCTGAAAATACTTATATGAATAGTGCATTTCCTTCTAAGATGGTAAAAGCATTCACTGTACAATATTTTCACCTGTCTTATGAATTAAAAAAATCACCACCTTGGGAGCTATAAACTATTCTATTTCTTAGTATGGAGTTGTAAAGATTGTTAAGTTTTGATTGAGATTTATGAATGGATCAATATTAAACCACCATTGAAAACCTGGAATCACTGGATGGCCGTTTCGTCCTAATATAAAACTTCTCAACGGTGAGTATCCACAACTGCACACACAAGACTTAATCCCAGGATATTCGGCCGTTTAGTGTTTCCAGGTTTTTAATAGTGATCTAACATTGATTGATTGATAAACTCAATCAAAAAACTCAACAATCTTCACAACCCATTTACTGATAATTAACATGTACTCACTAATGACTAACTTTAAGAGGTCATTCTTGAAATTCTACTGAGAGATTACGACCGATGGAGTTAATCCGTGTCGTATATGAGAAAGTTACTCACCGAAGACATGAGTTGAAGTTATACATTAACCCCATTGGATATATGTTTAGTCACATAAATTCCTTTTTTTTAAAAATCACCATGGTATTTACATTCAATCATAGAAACTAATTTAACTTATTAGTTTAATGGAAGGAAACTAAAAAACGCGGTTCATTTTAGTCAATCAATATCGATTACAATAATCAATATATGTATACATGTAATCATATTACATAATTGATTAGGGATTATATTCTGTTAGAATGAATGATCCTTTATATTATTTTAAATGTATTCAAGTATTCTAATCTTGAATAGTAACCAAGTTAGTGATTATAAAGAGGATTCAATAATTGACATTTTTCAAAAACGAACCGGAACTACACCATTAAATATCTAAAATAAATCTAATTATGGTCTTTTCTTCTCTTTTGTTTTCTTTTTTTCAAATTTAATGGAGGGTGGGGATTCGAATTTTTAAATTAGTTGCTGTTAGTAACTGGACATTGATCATTTCAGTAACTTGGAGTTTAATAAATGCACTTGGTGTTGTTTTACTTGTATCTTCTCATTGCTGTTTAGGATTGCAATTGATCCGTCTCTTGTAGGCATATGTGCATCCTGTGTGGATTCGCTCGATATAGCCCTAAGTTACGAGCTATATAAGCAAAGATGAATAGTGGCTAACAATGGAAACTAAGACACGCGTTTCGTTCTTTTTGGGACTCGTCATGTACTTGCATCTCAGAGTTGATACTTACTCTGTGACTCGAACCTAATATTGTTCGCTTCAAACACCATCGCATTATCCACTTAGCTACTGAGTCCTGATAACTACTTGCTTGTACAATGAGGTGAAGTTTAAATTCGCTTGCGTGTTGTTTTACTTGTATTTTCCCATTGTTATTTAGGATTGCAATTGATCAGTCTCTTGTTGGCATATGTGCATTCTGTGCGGATTGCCTTGATACAGCCTTAATTTAGAAGCATTTTAAGTAAAGATGGATGGTTGTTATTTGGGACACAGTAGCTATAAGTGGATAATGCAATGGCGTTTGAAGTGAACGGTACTGAGTTCGAGTCCCATAGTGAACATCAATTCTGGGATGCGGATACATCCAGCTGACGAGCCCCACATAGGATAAAACGTGTATAATGGATTCCATTGCTAGCCACTATCCTTCTTAGATACTTTATATAGTTACAAAGCTTAAATTTCAAAGTCATCTAACTTGAAAAGCTGATCCTGTAATGCTGTTTGATGATGATTTGTTTTCAGTGTAGGTTTGTGGTAATTGTTGAATTTAGATTGATATCGTGAATGTGTGAATGTTAGAGCACCAGTGAAAACCTGTAAGCACTGGACGGCCATTTCGTCCTATTGTGGAACTCATCAGCAATGCGCATCCAAGATCCTGCTCGCGAGATTTGAACCCTTGGCCTTCAGTCTCACGTGTGAACGCTTAAGCTCTAGACCATTTAGCCGGCATACAACGGTATTAATGCTCAACTTAAATCAATCCACGATATTGCGCGACCGTCCACGATTATCTTCAGTGAGTACCCTATACTGATAATTATTACTTGCTGAAAATTTTATGAAGGAAATTTATTTAATTTTAATAGATAAAACTGATAGAAATACAAGACTCTTGTATTCCAACCAACAGATAAGTAGTTACTTCCATTCTATAATATAGCAAATCATCACAAAAAATGATAACAGTTTGAGTAGTGTTGAAAATCAGAGAGTATGCATTAAACAGTTATTTCATCTTAATTAATTACTCATCAGTAATATTCACCAATACTTGGAATTCTAAAGGGAAACATAAAAAGAGGTAAGTCAAAGAACAAATTACATCAGGAATTAGTAGTAGACATGAGAAGAATGAATAGCAACTGTAAAAAGCTGAAAAGGATTGTCCAGGACAAAATTGGATGAAGAATGCTAGTGGGCAGACTATACTCCTCCACAAGGATCAACAGTCGTAAGTAAGTACGTACTCATCAACAACCTCATACGAAGGTAAACTCAAGACACAGAGACAGAGAGAGAGAATGCGGAATATATCAATGACTTCCAAGCAAATGATCTACCTATCAACTGTATTTTGTCGGCTTATATTTTGACGTCAACAATATAACACGTTAATACTATCTTACTTACTTACTTATTGCCTATTACTCCTCGTGAAGGAGCAAAGGTCACCCACCAGCATTCTCCATCCAACCCTGTCCTACGCTATCCTTTCCAGCTCTTTCCAGTTGTTATCCATCCTTTTCATATCTGATTCCATTTCCCGACGTAATGTGTTCTAAGGCCTTCCTCTTTCCGCTTCCCTTCAGGATTCCAAGTTAGGGCTTGTCTCGTGATACAGTTTGACGATTTGCGTAATGTATGTCCTATCCATTTCCATCGTTTTTTCTTAATTTCTTCTTCAGCTGGAAGCTGGGTTGTTCTCTCCTACAGAAGGCTATTGCTGATAGTATCCGGCCAATGGATGTTCAGTATCTTGCGTAGACAACCATTTATAAATACATGTACCTTCTTGATGATTGTTGTAGTAGTTCTCCAAGTTTCAGCTCCATACAGTAGAACTGCCTTGACATTCGTATTGAAGATTCTCATTTTGATATTGGTTGACAGACAGTTGTTTTGAGTTCCATATGTTCTTCAACTGTAGGAATGCTGTCCTTGCTTTGCCAATCCTTGCCTTTACATCTGCATCTGAACCTCCTTGTTCATCGATGATGCTTCCTGGGTATGTGATGGATTCTACATCTTCCAGAGTTTCACCATCAAGAGTGATTGGACTACTGTTCTCGTTAATACTATCACAGTTATAACTAAATAATTCAATGACTTTATCATTATAATAAACAATATAATATGACAACGAAACATTGAAACATTGAATAATTTACCCATTTATGGATAGATTATTACGTTTATCATTTAACCAAAATGTGAAATTCATTGATGATGATGATGATGATGATGATTTTTCATTAAATATAAATGATTTATTCATTGTATTATTATGATGTAATGATGATAGATTACGTTTTATATCAGAATCATTACGTTTCTTTAAAATAGTTTGTTTATAATAATCTATACGATTTAATGTATGTTGAGCTTCTGGACAAAATTTTGCTATTTTTTGACATAATACATAAGTGGATTCTTCTTCTATCCATGTGAATATACTTCGACGTACTCCATAAAGAAGTACCGCTTCAACGGATGCTATAATAAAAAAAAATATGTATATATATAATGTCATGGATATTAGTTACGTCACAATAATATATATCAGTTTAGGTGTTGTGGAGATTGTTAAGTTTTTTATTGAAATCATGAGTCAATTGAAGCTAGATCACCATGGAAAATGTGGAAGCACTGGACGACCATTTCGTCCTAGTATGGGACTCCTCAGCAGTGAGCATCCACGATCCTGCACCCCACGAGATTCGAACCCAGGACCCATCAGTCCCGTGCCAGGTGCTCAACCAGCGATTTCGTGGATTGGTTGAGGTTAGACATTAACACCATTGGATGCCGGGTCAGCAGTTTAGTTGGTTAAGTGCGTGGCGTGAGGCTCATAGGTCCTGGGTTGGAATCTCGTGGGGTGTGGGATCGTGGATGCTCACTACTGAGGAATCCCATACTAGGACGAAATGGTCGTCCAGTGCTTCCACATTTTCCATGGTGGCCTAGCTTCAATTGACTCATGGTTTCAATCAAAAATAATATATATGCTTTATGATAGTCAAATTGGGATAATAAGGATAAGAGTAAGCACTGAACAGCTGTTTTTGTCCCAGTATATTGCTGTTTAGCAGTATGCATTCATGAAAATTCTATAATCTCTATGAGATCCTATACTGATCATAATCGTCTGCTCACTAGTGACTATTTTCAATATGTAATTGTTGATGTTCTAATAAGAAATCTTGATCAATGGAGTTTGACTATGTTGAGAGTAAAACACTTATTGACGACAGTCAATGGTAGATGATTTTATGGTAAGACACTAATATTGTTCAACATCAGCTCAGTTATCTAAAGATTGAGCATCCATATACGAGAAAGAATGTCATGGATTTGATTACTTGTATCGATGTCGTGAACACCTACTATTGAATCCCATAATAGAACGAAACAGCTACTCAACACTTACATTTTCCTAATGGTTATTTACCTGGTCATTTTTCCCTCATACACTTAACTATTAACAATAGAGTAAAACAATTGAAAACTATGAACCAGAGACAATAATAGCATGTGAAGTTTTAAACAGTTGAGTAGAATGTCATAGATGTATGTTTTGTTAGGTTCTGGCGTGAACAGAGAAATAAAGAAGCCATGACAAACAACGGAAGCTATTTGGGGGGGGGGAGGCAACTATTTCACGTTATTCAGAGCATGTAAAACGCTAACATTAAGTTTTGTCTTGAATTTATTCTATAAACCATAAGCTTTCATTTGATGTATGATTCATCACCATATCCTTGTCTATTCCAAAACTATAGTAATTTAAACGTAACCTTTGGTACTCTATTTTTAAACTCTAATGCTTAGTTCAGACATAGCTGTATTTTCCCCATTGTTTATGCGTTATGGACGTGTTATGGTTGTCACAACTCACACGAATATTTTTAAGTAGTGTGTGGCAGAACGTGGCGTCGAAGTCACGAAAACTGTCGGACGAAGTAAAGAATCTAAACGCGTTAAAAACACAGCATTGGCAGGACATTTGGAAGCCAGTCACGAAGACAATGAACCTAGTCCGTGCGTATGTGAGTCAGTTACCCGCCGAAGACAATGAAAGATGGTTGCTGAATTTCGTGGATTAATTGAAGTTATGCATTAACGCTGTTGGATGCCGACTTAGTGGTTTAGAGTTTAAACAATCGCGCGTAAGACCGAAATCCCTAAGTTCGAATCCCGTGTGTGCGATTGTGGATGCGCAGTGCTGAGAATTCCCACACTAGGACGAAACGGTCGTCCAGTGCTTCCAGGTCTTTAATGATGGTTTAATATTGGTCGATTCATTATATTAATCAAAAACCTAACAGTCTGCACAACCTTATACTAATAATGATTGTATCTCAGACTATTAACACACAGCGTAACCAATTGGAATGTTTTGAAGAGAATCAGACTTTGTTCAACAGTATTAAACCAGCTTTCAAATGATTGCTTTTACAATGGTGAGTTGCATTTTAATCTAAATAACAGAAGTGATCATCATTAGGAACTAAACATCAGATGATTTTAGGCAGTATCACGTGCTTCATAGTTTACATTATGAACTGAACTTAATTAGAAAACTGCTTAGAATTGGGCCGTACTAAATAGGTTTTTCGTCCCAGTATAGGGCTTTCCATCAGTGCTTATAAAAAACCAAAACAAGAATCGAAATCACGATTCCCATTTGTCACAGGGACCAATTAAACGTTACACTCTTGAGTCAACAACCAATGATATACATTCCTTACTCAACCCATTCGCAATATTTAGCAACTGTCTTTCAATGTCATTAAACAATGTTGAATTTCATTAGTTACAGCTTCTGACTAATACTCTGAAAATTACCTCGTAATAGAGAATATGAAATTCAACAACCTCCAAGAACCATTCACATTAATACTAAAAAATGGAATTATTACGGATAAAACTATGTTATAATTATACTGAATTGATACTAGATTCAGTGATCAATCGAGTCCAATTGTCCATCAAGGAGATTTAATGTTTTGAATAAAACTTCATCCTTCATCTGGAATCCTCCAGGTTAAAGGAAAAGAGGAAGACCAAAGAACACATCACGTCGAGAAATGGAGACAGACATGAAAAGAATAAACAACTAGAAAAGAAGGCCCAGGAAAGAGTGAGTTGGAGAATGTCGTTCAGCGTCCTATGCTCCATTAGGAGTAACAGGAGCAAGTAAGCAACTAACTAACTAACTAACACCTACCATTAATCTAAAATCTGTTTCCTAAATTCTTCTCTAAATCATTTCATTAAGTAATAGCGAATAGAGGAAAAAAAACATGTAGTGACTTACAACACAGTTTACCGATTGTTTCACTATCTTCATGAACATAACCACGGATGACAGCTTCTTCCATAAGCATTTTTACCTTAGAATTAAATGAAAAAAGGAATAACACATTGAGAAACAAACACCATACTTCTTTATTTAAAGATTTATAATCCATTAAACTGAGTTTACTATCACATGTTATTAAAAAATCACATTATTCACTTATCAACAAGTTTCCATCAGCTGATTTATCTAAAGAGTAGTAGTAGTAGTAGTGCTTATACAGAGTGATATAAGTAGTATGTATCAAGAATTGAAAGTAATATTCTTAATGACAGAAGAGGAACATACGAAGATGTGAAAGAAAAGCAAAATCAGTTCAAGTATTAACAAGAATGGTAGAACGATAGAACTAGTAAAAGTTAATTCAAGAAAGATGTGCAAATAATGTATTCAATGTGTTGTTTTAGCCGGACCGAAGGTGCTAGGTTCGAATCCCATGTGTGGGATCGTAAGTGTATATTGCTGAATAGTTCTATACTAAGATGAAATGGTCGTCTAGTGCTTTCAGATCATTAATAGTGTTCTAACATTGATCAATCATGATCTCAATCACAATCTCTATAATCCTATACTAGAAATAATAGCAAATCTGATCCATAACCCAGATGACTTACTTGTATTTTGACATTTTTCAATAGATCCTCTTTAATATCTTGATCATTATTATCATTATTGTTATGAGCTGTGGAAAGAAAAACAGCTTTATCAATTTAAATGGTCATATCTCATTGAAGTAAGTGATTGAATGTTATGCCTACACAAACATGATATTAGTTACTATTGTTCATTTGGAACATTGAGACTGTTGAATGCCACCACAATTGATTGATCACTGGGTGGTGATCAATCTCATGCTTGTCTAGTCCTTATTAGTGCAGATCGAATGCTATCGATCATGTTGCAATGTGGCCACCAGTCTAGGTGACTCGACACTGCGGGCACTATGTATTGAGATTAGATGTTGGTCGGGTCCAGGGTTTCCTGTTGACTACCTCCAACCAACATCTAATCTCAACTGTTGAATGCCTTTGCATTTGATTTCGGCTAATCTGATCTTAATTTTGAAGTGACTATGAGTGATAAAGAGCTATCTGTTTAATTGCCATTCAGTGATAGACTGAATTTCTTTGAGAAAGTTATAATCCAGATAATTAAGTCAGTTCAACTGTCGAGTTTTAGAATACATAGTCACCATAGTAATCATTACAATATTTTATAGTACAAAGTATGCTTGTTTCCTTGCTTTCAGATTATATAGGAGACCGTATATCACTTTGATTACTTACTTACTTACTTACGCCTGTTATTCCTCGTAAAGGAGAACAGGTCACCCATCGGAATTCTCCATACAACTCTGTACTGGACAATACTTTCCAATTATTTTCAGTAGCTATACATCCTTTTCATATCTACTTTTATTTACAGACCTAATGTGTTGTTTGACCTTCCTCTTTTCCGTTTACCCTTCAGAATTATAACTAACGGTTTGCCTTGTGATGCAGTTTGATGATTCCCTCAATGTATGTCCTATCCACTTCCAATGCCTTTTCCTAATTTCCACTTCAGCTCTAAGCTGGTCTATCTTCTCCCATAGAAGTCTGTTGTTGATAATGAGTATCATGCGTAAACAACTATTTAGAAATACTTGTGCCTTCTTGATGATGGTTGTAGTAGTTCTCCAAGTTTCAGCTCCGTAAAGTAGGACTGTGTTTCCTGTTCGTATTGAAAGTTGTGACTATGATATTGGTTGACAGACAGTTGTTTTGAGTTCCATATGTTCTTCAGCTGTAGGAATGAGGCCATTGCTTTACCGATCCTCACCTTTACGTCTGCATTTGATCCTCCTTGTTCATCAACTATGCTTTCCAGGTATGTGAAGGATTCTACATCTTCCAAAGTTTCTTCATCAAGTGTGATTTGATTAGTCTTCTTCTTGTGTATGTTGAGGCCTACTTATACCACTTCAATAGCGGAAGTATAAAGACTTTATATACATAAACAATCTTATTACGAACCTCCCATTTGGGGGAGGCTGTAGGTTATGGGTTGGATCTCTTGTGTGAGGGCCGTGGTCACGTACAAATGAATAGTCCCATACTAGGACAGAACAGATATATAATGTTTTCATATTTTCAATGCTTATCCAATTTATGTCAATTTGTGGTCCTATGTTTCCTTTCAAGTTGTATAAAATACTAGTTACTAACTGATGAATCCTATACAACATTTATCATTTCAAAACGTCTATGAGTTTGTTGCTATGTTCAAATAAAATATATCAACCATATCTTTTTAACTAATGAACCCCTTTCGTATCAACTTGATGATACCTATACAGTGGTATAGATTATGTAATTGATAAGTAAGTAAGTAAACATTTCAATTCTACAGATGATCTACTATGAACTGAATAGTTCAGTTATAATATCTTTGAATCATATACTGAATAACGTAGGTTAAACATCTACATAAAGTACTAGTTCAATATTGTAGATCTATCTACTTGGAGATGAGTATTAACTGATGAAAAACTTAAGTTCATAGTTATAACTTGACTAGTTTCAATCATCTAAGATGAAACCAGTTCAGGTGATTTCAAGTCATTTAAACTAATGACTACATATTACAACTTAATCTATAGGAGACAATTATAAATAACCATTACATAATACAAAAATGATTACAACTATATGAACGTTTAGTACTAGTTATCAGCATTAAAAAATGATTACTTCCAGGTTTTTAACATAATTCTAATAGTTTTTGATTGAGATTATGAACTGATTCAAGCTAGACCACCATGAAAAACCGAGAAGCACTGGATGGCTGTTTCGTCTTATTGTGGGACTCCTCAGTAGTGCACATTCACGGTCCCGCTAGCAGGATTCGAACCCAGAGCCTGCAGTCTCATGAGCGGACGTTTAACCTCTAGACCAGTGAGCCCGCTGGCATCTAACAGTGTTAATAATCTCCACAACTCTATAATGATAATTCTAATATTTGAGATATTATAAAGCTATTTAAAGTGGGCGATTCATGTAGGGAAGTATAGGATCATTATGGAATTTGAACTGAAAAAAAACACATTGTAAACTGAGTGTGATTTTAACTTAAAATACTGACTTGAGACTGAATGATATAAGCAGCTGGTCTAATTATTAGTCTTTTACTAGTCCAATAGGGCTCGAACACAAAGTCTAAAAGACACAACATAAAGCATTGTTTTAGCACAGAGTTTCTTTACTATTTTCGATATCTCTTCATATCACTCAGTCTGGTCAGTCTGTCAGTCACACCGTAGAATCTGGTACGTATGTACATTGGTTCAAGTTGCCATACCTCATTAGCTCAAAGAGATTAAATTTTCAGGCTAAATACTGGAATAGTAGAAGTAGTAATAGTATCAGTGGTATTAGAGAAGATCAAGCATCGAAGATACGATTCGAGTAGAAAATACAAATTACTGAAAGGAGAAGAGAAAAAGTCATGAGGAATTTAAAATATCAGAACTTGGGAGAAGACAAAGATTGGATGAACCTGCTCGATCGCAAACGATTTGGATCCATGTCATTCAAAGTCTCCAACTACTGCTTACGTTAATCACATGGACCTGTTATTGTTCTAAACTTAAGGAGGGGTGGTCTAGAAGATTCACCAGTCAGTGATTTTGAGAACTGATACCACGTTTTGGTTCGGCTGTGTCTAACTTTCTTCCAACCATCTCCAACGTTAGTCACCAACGGTAAAATAGATTCATATTGTCAATATAATCTATTTAACAAAAGCAAACATATTGATTACTAAACATTAAAGTTGTACAAAGCAAGCTATCTAGCCTGACATGACGTCGTACCATCTGAAGCCGATGAGATGAGATGATAGATTGAATGATTTCATACACTTTAGATGTAATGGCAATACCAGAAAAGACAAACTATCATAGGAACAATTGAGAAGTGCAAATAAAAGCGAAAGTTTTTGCAAGTGACTTTTTCACTTATACAAAGTTATAAACAATTAGTTCTTCTAACTCTGTATAGACTGTTGAGCAAGCGATAAAAAAGCATGTGAATCGAACTGGCAAATCATAATAATATCCGAAAGTTGATGAAACGATCTAGAACCAGATTCGCAGCAAAATGTGACCCGTCTATCATCCTCCGACATTTAGCGTCTATGAAGTTTTATACCGATGAAAAGCGGCAACATGAATCTTCTTTTTTTCTGAAAATCAGTGTCTCATAAAATCTATTACAGTATCCCTATTAAATTCAACGTGGATCTACTCGATGCGATGATGAATTTAAGCCATTGAATGAATACAGAATTATAACCATAACAGCTCTATCAAATATATATTTATCCCTATTAATATGATTGGAGATCATAGTTGAAAGGTAACCCGATCAGTTATTAACCCAACTTCCCAATTAAAAAATGTTCATTAAAAATGTATAAAACAGAAGCAGTGACCAGGAGAGTTTAACTGTGTCTGTTGTGAGGCAATTACCGACTGAAGGCAATGGTAAATGGTCGATCAATATGGTGGGTTGGTTGAAGTTAGACATTAACACCATTAGATGCCAGCTCAGTAGTCTATTGGTTAAATATTCGCGTGTGAGACCCAACGTCTTGGGTTCAAGTTTCACATGAGGGATCGTGCATTCGCACTGATGGAGAACTTCATACATGGATGAATTGACCATCTAGTGCTTCTTCACAAACCCTCATTCTTAGAATATCATAAGATTACTGAAACAACTAAATACGATGTGACAAACACTGTCATAGAAAAAACATGATTTTAAAATAATCTTAATGAAGATTACTGAGATTATTTTAATTGGTAGGGAGTATTCTTCACAGGCCAACCTCAATTACGGTGATTCCATTCTTAGTATAGAATTACTCATTAATGAGTATGCACAATCTTGCTAGGGAGCAAAATAAGAATAATTAAGTCTACCATTGATTGATCACTGACTAATAATCATTGTTGCTTTTATCTAATCAATTATTACTGATCGAATTCTATTGATCAAGTTTCAGTGTGGAACATCAGTACTGAATACACTTGGGATAATACAGACTATAAATGCAAGTTGTTGCTTCAGGACTGGTCTGCGTTAACACCTGAACTAAGGATAGGGAGTGAGGTAGTCGAACGCGTTGACAACTTCACTTATCTTGGAAGTCTGATCAGCCCTAATGGGTTGATATCAGACGAAATCTCAGCACGGATTCGAAAAGCTCGTTTGGCTTTTGCCAACTTACGTCACCTTTGGCGAAGGCAAGATATCCGTCTATCAATAAAAGGACTAGTATACTGCGCGGCAGTCCGTTCTGTTTTAATTTACGACAGCGAAACATGGCCATTAAGAGTAGAAGACACTCGTAAGCTACTAATATTTGACCACAGATGCCTTAGAAATATTGCTGGCATCTGCTGGGATCACCGGGTAAGTAATAGCGAGGTTAGACGCAGGGTATTAGGGAATGATGGTAAATCAGTTGATGAGGTTATGAATCTTCATCGACTGAGATGGTTGGGCCACGTGTTACGTATGCCTGAACACCGATTACCACGACGTGCAATGCAAACCGGTATTGAAGATGGTTGGAAGAAAGTTAGGGGCGGCCAAACCAAAACGTGGCATCAGTGCCTGAAGTCACTAACTTCTA